CATCCCCAGCAGTCCCTCCTCAGAGCCCTCCACCCACCCCAGTAGCGCCATCGGTCACGGCTTTCAGTCACCCCTGACCGCGACAGCCCCTAGTTTGGCCTCTTCCTGCTTTCTGCGCTCCCCTTGCCGATCGACGCCCTCTTCCGGCCAACATCCTTCCTGCCTCTCTTTCCCTCTCCATTCGCTTTCTGTTTCTAGGATCCTCCGCCCTCGCCCCTCTGTCTCTCAGACCCTCCTTCCTCTGTCTTTCGGAGCCCTCCTTCCTCTGTCTTTCGGAGCCCTCCTTCCTCTGTCTCTGGTATTCTCCTCCCTCTTTCCCTCACACCGAGTGTGTGTATGGGTGTCGGTGATATGGCATTGAGCGCGGACTGGCATTGTGTCGTCGCCCCGCCCCCGCAACAGGCGATGGGTGATGCGATGACAGGGAAACCTCGTCACTGGTGGGCTCTCGTGTGTGACTGTTGTGGTGATTACTGGCGGGTGTGATAGTTTTAGTGGGGGTGATGTTCGATGACTGGGCTTTGGACGCAGGCAACACTGGAAAGTGTGATAGTGCTATTTCACATGGTGAATGAAAGGAGAGATCCAGAGCTAGTTTCGGGCCTTTTCTGTCTCCCGTTTCTCAGTTTCGGTCTCGAAAGTCCTCCGTGCCCTGCTGGATCAAAGAGATGTCACACCTGTGAAGCAGGCCTTCGTAGCCGCTGTCATACAAAAAATGTTGTATATAAAATCACATGTAACCTGTGTGATGAGAAACCCGCTGTGTACATAGGTGAATCAAAAAGGAGAGTCCGCGAAAGATTTAATGAGCATCTACGGGATGCTAAAAACAAGACCAAAAACACCCCTCTCGGAGACCATGTCAACCTCAACCACCCATCATGTAGTATATCGTCATCCTCATTCAAAATTAGCATAGAGAGAGTATGTAAAGATGTGGCTGATCTGAAAATAGCAGAATCTGTTGAAATAAGAAACCAAAAACCATGCCTAAACACACAAACCTCATCCTGGCCCCTTCTCCATCCCCCTCCCTACACTCCCACATAGGCAATGTTCTATGCTTGGCCTTCCGTCCTCTTTTTTGTCAGCATGTCTCTATTGGTTTATTTGTCTCACCTGAAGTACTTGTACTTGTTAGGTGCGTCTTTCATCGCCATTTGTACTAATTTGATTTAGGGTAGACGCAGTTGACAGCGTCCCCCCCCCCCACTCGTACACCACCTCAGCGAGCTCTACACTGGTGTCATGTTTACTCTGCTGTGTGTATGTATTAGTTGTACGCACCTGAAACATGTGTAATTAAGTGTATGAATGCATCTTATCCTGTCAATCACTCTGCATAGGTTATGCATTTTCGCGAGTTTGGCGTGCTGCACAAATAACATATGCCTGTGTTACTTTTAGGTATTGTGTAGCATTGACAATATTTATCCAATTATTATTCAGTGATATTGTATTCATTGTATTGTACGCTGTTAAAATTTATTATAGGTATGACCTGACTGTAATTTGTTAGCCAGAGATCTCACAAAAATGTTGCACGCTATTTTGAAAGGATTTGAATTTGCTCGTCGACAATTCTGAAAATGTACATTCTGAAGACGACGCAAGTCGAAATATATCATAATACTTTTTGGACTTATTTTAATATCATTTCATTGTATCATGAGCATAAGGTCATTTTCTACCATCATAATATTCATAATTATGCTCAAACTAGCCATAGCTCACCTCCAAAGAAATATGACAGCTAAATCAAGGAATCTGGATGACTTATTCGGGTATCAATTTTTTTTTTTACTAATTTTGGCAATTTCGGTCGTGGGTTTTATTTGTTTTCCTTGGGTGTCTATCCCTGATGGGGTCCGGCATAGATTGGCCTTGTCGCTGCCCATTTTTTTCGAAAACAGGTTTTGAGATGGTCCTGTCTCGCTGGATGATGCTGACCGCAGTGACCAGACTCAGCTGAATATCATTGGAATTCAGTCGGCGAGACAAGCACCGCATCCCGCATTAATGAGTTTCATGGAAGCGCTGACTTTTGCCAGGCTACAAAGAGACTGCTGGGCTTGTATTCATGCTAAGACACACATTCAAATGGCTGCTTCTGCCGGACGGCAGAGCACAAACCGTCGGAACGTGGTCTTGTTACGGTCGGGGACATGCATACAAATTGGTGTCGTTTGGAAAAGGACCGTTATGAAAGCTTAACCAAGGCCAGTCGGGTGTAGTGTTGCAATGCCGATCAGACTTAATAATGTTCTGGAATATGTTATGTTGATGATGGCTCACCGAGCGTTTCAACACCATTCCAGAGCCTTGAACAAGTACCATTTTTTGGTTCATCACTAGACCACATATTATCTCCCCTAACCGCCAACAACATTCTTCCCGAATTGGGGCCACTTTCTCCCCGAACTTCCACCTTCCCGACCAGTCTAAACCCCAACTAAACCATTGATCGCTGCTTGCCGGCGGATTTCTGGGTGGGGCGCTGCCTTCCTCGAACTCTGTAGCGGGGCGAGAGCCCCCTGAATGCTGCATGTCGCTCGCCCGACCGGCGCGGCGTGCAGGTCTGGCGCGAGCGGGGATGAACTGCGGCACCCAGCGGTCCCTGAGTCGGACCGGGGTGGGGAGGGAGGAGAGGAAGATGTTTGATGGCCGAGCTGAAATGGTCGCCGCGGTGACAATGCTCCGGAGAAACGAGTGACATTTGTAACTCCCGGCCCCAACCGCCGTGAGGTTGTGGAGCCGAGTTGTTTGTGACGCCGGGTGGCTTTGTTAGATGTTGAGTGGCTGTTTTAGTGCTCTCTGCGATGAGCCGTTACCTTTTATCGGCATCATTTGGCCGTAAGGTTGCTGGCATGCGAACCAAAAGAGTTCCCCCACCACCCAATCATCAAGACACGCCTATCGGCCGTAAATTCGCCCTGTGAGGCTGTTTATTAGGGATAACCGGCAAACATCCCAAACTTTCTGCAATCGCTGCGCAAGTTGTCGGGGCTTAGCTCGCCGGACTGCGATTCCCTCCAGCCTCTGGGGCTGGCGTTATCCGTCCGAGAGCCACTGGAGGCAGATAAGACCACGCCTTTCGGTAATGACTCTGACGACTATCGGCTGCCTCGGTCGGCCGCGGGTGCCGCGGGCGCCGCAGATTACGGCGGTTCGGGTTAGCCCGGTGGCTCCTCGGGGTGGTAGGGTGATTTTGCACGCCGCTCCGGCAGCCCCCGGGGATGAGATAGCGGCGGGAGGCTGCAGAGCAGGTTGGGGAGGGAAGGGTGATTGGGTGGTTCGGGTTTCGAGCGGTAAGTGCCGTCTGGCGATACAGTAGCGATACAGAAGCGGTGTGGTAATGTTGCAGCATGTAGCGATGTGGTATCAGTAAGCGGTGATTAAGTGGCGGTGCAGTAGCGGTGTGGCAGTGGTGCGATAACTTTAAAAGGACGATGATGAATCCGTGACTATTTGGTTTCCAGTTGGTGGGGTGCGTCTATTTTACGACGGAAGCTCGTTAGCATATAAATTGATGGAGTTGTTCAAACTCGGTTTGGAAACTTTCGAACTGTGATCAATAGTTGACAATTCGAAGCATCAACCAAGCATCGGCTCATGGTTGAGCGGTTTTGAAGGGCATCGCAGGAGGTCTTTACTTTTTGTCTTTCCGTTTTTTGATCTGCCCCCCCCCCCCCCCGCCGCCGGTTAGCGTGTTCGATGCTACCGACGCCGGCGTCGCTGCCGTTCATGACAACAGCCACCAGCCGCACCCTTTTCTTCTTTTGTTGGGCGCCTCGTCGCCGTCTGTCCGCGCCGTATTAGTGCTGAGCGATGGCGGCGGCGTCTATTTACCCTGTCACCGCGCTGGCCTGACACGGCTCTGAGACGGCCTCTGCAGACCGGAGGTCCTCATGGGGTGGCCTCTGGGGTCGTATTGTCATTGCTGACTGCGGTCGTCCTCAGCCTAGGTAGTGTAGTGGCTGACCGGTCAACGAACGACCCTGACCCATCGACCGACTGACCCACGGACCCACCGACCGTGACCTACCCACCGTGACTTACCCACCGACCCACCGAACCACCGACCGACCAACCCACCGACCGGACGACCGACCGACTGACCGACCTACCGACCCACCAACCCACCGACCCATCAACCGTGACCTACCCACTGGTGCCGGTCGCCGAGGACGCGGCTGACGCGTCGATTGCACCACTTTGCCGCTGACGGCGCGGCCAATGACGATCTGATGGCGGCTGATGACGCTCCGGTGACGGATGATGACGTTCTGATGACGGATGATGACGGCCGGTGACGGCGGCGCCAATGGTGACTAATGACGGTCCGGCGGTGACGGCGGTGGCAGGGATGGTATTACCGTCACGGGATAGAGGGTGGCGATTGTTTGTTTATCGTCACCTCTCTTGAGGACTTACGTGTTGAGTGATATTCGGTCGTCGCAGCTATTCCTATGTCGTCGCGTTGTGTCATTGTTTGATGGACCCTCTGACCTATCTGTAAACGGCACCCAGTCACGGTTTTATTCCAGAGGAACGGACGCTTGCATGTATTGTTTTTGGTGTGTAGCACTACTGTTCTGAATGAAATGAGGCGTCCACACAATCTGTCCCTGTCACCTGTCAGTCTGACTGATAGTGGTCTGTCTTACCCTATCTGACTGTGACAGGACAGTATCCGTCTGACTGACTCACTGTCACATGTCTTCTCATTTATCCTGTCCGCAGATTCGCACTGTCTCCTAGCTATTTCTGTGAAACGCTGTGACTGTGTTTCCTGTCCTATCGAAGTCGCGCGGGACTGGTAACGTTTGCTTTTTCCTATGTTCTGTCTGTTCATTTATTCTATCGGCGCCTGTGTCTGGCGTTATTTCTCGTCCAGTCCACATGACTGGAAATACCTGCCTCTTTGTGCTTATGCATTTAATTTAAACTTGTGTCTAAGACTCGCCGGTGACTGACTGTATTTCCCATCTGTCCCACAGGATTCTATCGAGGCGGCTCACCTCGTGCAACTATTTGACCCAGTCACCTCACCTCGCTGTTACGCCCTCATCGCTACAAAACGGAGCGGCGCGGTGGACGAGAAGAGTCACGGGAAGGGTGGGAAAGAACCCACAGCGGTCAGTGCTGACTCAACGGTGGGCTGTAGCGACTCAGCGGATAGTGCTGAACCCACGACAGTGACTGTGGAGGCGAGGACGGCGCAAACGTGACGAATCCAGACTCTAGCGACTCTCTTAGACTTCTACACTTTAACGCAGTTCAGTTCTCCTGCGCCGGTAAAGGCTCGACCACTATGTAGTCTCAATCTTTTAGCTCGTACTTGTGTTTTCCGATTTAGACATTCGCCATTTGGTGATTACTTTAAACTATGTTGACCTTTGCGATTCTGATCGATATTGACCACTCGCTGCTCTTTCTTTATTGCCAATATTTGAAGTGCTCTCTATTTTCGTCTTGATCTTTATTGAACCACTCGAACCCGTTCTGACCTTCGATAGCCTCTTCTGATCCCTCACACTGCCCTCTGCTCTATCTGCTAACCTCTGGCCTCTGCTATGCTCCGATCACCTCGATCCGTCGGGGGTTCTTGCTCTCTATTTCCATGAGCGGGTCACTGCACTATATGGAGCGGTCGGCCATTGGTCGCGTCATCATCAGTCATATCCCTCCTCTCCTCCCATTTTCGGCGGCCCTGTGGCTATAGGAACCACTCTCAGGCCTTGTGATGGAGGATGACGTCATACATTAGCACGTGTTAACATCTCGTCGCCGTCTGCCACTCGGTAAAAACTGTCCGTCATAGTCCTCGCTAATGCGCCGATGAGCATTCGACATCTCGCGCTGATAATGTCTGTTGTTGCTGCGTCCTTTCATATGGTGACGTCACTGAATGACGTTTTGTCCAGACCTTCAGGCACCGTGAAGGGCACTCTGTGATGATTAGGCCGCGCTGTTAGGCCCCACCGGATCGCAGACCGTTTTTGTTTCATGCCGGCGGGATGCGTTATTACGAGAGGTTTTTATACTGAGGCGAAACGCAATACATCATCTTCTTGTGGTTATGTTCGTTTGTCATTTGTTACCGTGAATTAAAGGGATGTCTGCCGACTGCTTTTTGTCCCGCTTCGTTTGGGAGAGAGGCTGTTCCGACATTGTGATGCTACAGGCGCCCATGAGAGAGAGGATAACTTACTGTGTGATTAGCTCGAGGCAAGGTTGATCCATACTATAGCTTAGATTAGAAGAAACTGATGCACTGTATAGTGTGCAGTTTCTTGTCGGCGAGCTGGTTCCACTTCCTATTGCACCCTCGTAAATCTTCCTCTGATTTCGCTACATAATTTGATGATTGGTCCATCCTAGTCATTCTATTTCACTCACAAGAACTTCACAAATTTACATCTGGGCGCCGTCTGCCACTCGGTAAAAACCGTCCATCAGCCGTCCTCGCTAACGTGCCGATGAGCATTCGACATCTCGCGCTGATAATGCCTGTTGTTGCTGCGCTCTTTCAGCGCTCCCGTTCCGTCGTTCGTCAATGGGCGCTGCCTGAAAGCCTGCCTTAGGACGGCCAATAGTTACCTCTCCTGTGTGGGCGACGAGATAATTCGGGCGCCGTCGCGTTTGCCGTGAACAAACACAGTTGGCTTAAAAGGAGAGCCTGACGAGAGGTTGGTTTTGAACCTGAGACTTTCAGTCTGGGAGCCGTTAAGGGGCGACCAAGCAGCGTCGCTCTGACCAAGCCAGTGGCTAGTATCGATCGTCTGTTGTCTAGGTGGCACTAGTGAATCTCTATTCCCTTTTATATAACACCCTATATATCCATCTAAGCCCAGTAACAGTCAGTAACAACAACACATGTCCTACCTTCTACGTAGTGCTGGCATCGCAGTACGATGTATAGACACATTTATTGAGACATTTCGGATGAGTTACAAAGCGCCACAGCCAGGTCCGCCGCCGCGGCGCCGCTCTCCACAGCTGGAGACCACGCCACGCCACGCCCGCACACAGACACACAAACAGGCGCCCCTGCCGGCGTCGCTCAGCGCTCAGGACGGACACCGACCGACGGCCGGCCGCGCTGCGCCGCGCGCGACAAATCAACAACTTGAGCAGTAACAATAGCACACAATAAAAAGCGGCAGCGGCGGCGCGACGGCCCGCCGAGCTTCTATGAATCCACGGGATTTCACACAACTCGACAGTAGTCCTCTGGAATCCTCTCAAAAGTCAACGGGAGTCCGGTCAAACTACCAGAGTCCGTTGGCGTCTATTGGCATCGATGAGATTCCAGATTCCGCTGTGTGGAATCGTGTGCGACTGGTGTCAGTTTCCTCAAACAGGCAAGTTCAACTCCGGATTCCTCCAGCTCTGGACTCCGTGGTGGAACACTAGCTGAACCATCGAGTCTGCTAGAGCAGCCAGTGCTTCAAGAAATACCGAATTATTAGTTGCACCTGGTAGCGAGACACGACTCACGACACCGTTACTGGAGTTGAACGGAGGCCGGCAGCCAGAAAAATTCCAAAGGATCCGCTGGAATCCAGCAGTAGAGTCCAGTTTAGCTTGCTGGAGTTAAGTAGAGGTCGGTGGAGTCCTCAAAGTCCAGCAGAGAGCAGCAGTCCGCCAGATTCCACTAGAGTCCAGTCCAATAGAGTTCGCTGGAGTTCGGTAGGTCTCTGTTCAGTTCGCTAGGAAATAGCAGAGAGCAGTGGTCCACAGTTCAAACAACAAAGTCATAGTTCACCAGAGTTCAGCAGAGTCCAACGAGTCCACGGAGTCCGACTCCGACTCCAACACGGAAGCAGTGGGCGTCCAAACCGCCGTTTGATCTCAAATCACTATCAATTTGCATACACTTTCCTTACATCACTCGCTCACCCATCAGTACATCACCCGCTTTATCAGGACAGTCTCACCGCGACCCCAACCCACACCAGAGCCACCCACGTGACCTGGGGCACCGCCAGTGCCGCCACACCACTAAATGTCACGTGACTGGGCCGACTGACGTCCAGAGGTCGGGTCAGCTGGTCTGCCCCCAGGGCGTTCACCACCAGCACTGTAACCGGTCCGGCGAGCTCGGGTCTCAGGGCCGCTATCTGCAGTCTCCACTCGAAGCAGCTGTTCTGGGCGCCGTCAGTGTAGTTGTCGGCGGTGGCCAGGTCGGAGCGGTGACCGGGCCGGACGGCCAGCTGTCCGACGGCCCACAGCAGGGAGGTGGGTGGCGGGTCGGAGCAGAACGAGGCCACCAGGGAGGCCGGCTGGCCCAGCACCGCCTCCCCCAGTACGGTGATGTTGGTCACCATCGGACGGCCTGTGAGAGAAGAGAGGGGGGAGAGGGTCAGAGGGAGGGTGACAGGGGCTAACTTGGGGGAAAATAGACGGGTTTACATAGGGTTTGTTGCAAGCTTATATCTCCGTCCGTGATGTTGCAAAAGATGCCATGGCATCTTTTGCAACATTGGCATCTTTTATGCCATGGCATCTTTTATCACCATTGCAATGGTGCTGAACAATTTACAAAATGATCCCCTCTAAATATTTGAAGACCACTGCATCGAAATTATCGCCAAATTAACGAGCTAGAGCCTCGTCAAATATGATATGTAAACCGGGTTAACGTGTCAGAGAGAGTTGTCGGCTGCTTGAAGGGGTTGAGTTAACATCGCAACATCAGGTGACGGAGTTGGCTATAACATCGGGGGGGGGGGGGGTGACTGCCAGCGAAGTCATGCCATGGGTTCTTAGTCCGAGGCTTTTATTTCGTCAGTATGTGAATAAATATTACGTAAATTAAAACAGAGTCGAAGGACTCGGGTTTAGCGGCAACTAGATCACATTGAGGACGGCCAGAACTCATTTAACACGACCAAACCACTTCGGCAAACGTTCTTGCGACAATAAACCCCCATAATAAGTCTGGTACTCTGCCCATGACTAGCTAAATTGGCACTGAACTTTCGAAAAACGACCCAATTAGCCGAGGCATTTTTGTTGGATCAGCGTTATTGGTGCTTGTTCGCACCTGCCGTTTAATATATCCCCGCGGTGTGATCCAATTCCAAGTTGGGTCCGGTGCCGATGGCTTTGGCGACAGCCTAATTGAGCCCAGTAAAGCCGGCTCTATAGGCGGGCAGGTGACCAATATTGGTCCGCCTTTTAGCACGAGGTGGAACTATCGGCGACTTCCCGAGCGAGGCAGCGAAATAATCCTGGAGGATGAGTCTGCACTCGCACAAATACCGTAAAATGCATTGATTGTCGTTCCGTCCTAGGTGCCATCTTTCCGCCGCGCGTTGCCATCAAACCGCCCTCTCATTGCTTATTGAACCATCCCCCCACTATTGCGAATTTCTGGACCAGCAGCAGAGTTTTCCATTGTGCAGCGGTCGTATTTATGGTTCCAATCAGTAGTCCAAGTGCCCGCCCGCGACTCATCAATAGCTCTGCAGTCGATGGTCGCGGCTGTCCCATTCCGACAGCGGATAAGGAAACCCACACTGTCGTTTATAACAATAGACACAGTGTAACATAGGACCCGAGTTCAGTTACCGACAAGTGGCGATGAGCGATATGTGGTGCTGAGCAGTTACGCAAACATAGATCGGCGCTATTTGTATGACATATTCGTCACTGTTTGACACTAGACAAACACATCTGTATACCCTGTGGGTACTCAGCACAGCTTCGGGTTACATGATTCCCCTATACCATCACCGTTCGGTAATTTATTAGTCGGCCTGCGGGTGCTGAGTTCGATTTGTGTAAACGCCGTGTCACTTGCGGCGATTAATCGTTCGCTGTGTTGACAGGGAAGCAAACACTTGGTCGAACACTATGTGCATCCGTGCCGATTGGCGGTAAGGACAAACATGTTCGGTTGTAAGTGCGCAGCGAGAAGAGTGATGACGGGTTGCTATGGTAACCACAGCACGGAGTGTGCCAGAGGAGATTAAGTTTCTGCTAAAATTGTTTCTGAATCTTGTGACGCTTTTACGTTTGACCTTACTTGGACAATTTAGTTGAGTGGTTGTAAAAATGACGGATCGGCGACAGAGATGTCAACGCTCCGTAAAATAAAATGCAATGAATTGTGCGGTTTGGCGAACTAGAGCGTGAGAACTAGCGTCAGTACATCAGCAGTGATTATAATTAAACACTCTGTATCAGTTTGGCACATCTATTCATTACGAGTTTGCCCAAAATGCTGGATTAAATGGGGGAATTTGCAATCTGCTAAGAAGTTTGCTCCGACCGACCTGTTACGCAGGCAACTCGTACTCTCAAATAGGTTGAGAATGTCCGTTCCCGGAGCTCTCAAGCTGCAAAAGCTATCTCGCAAGGTTCGTCCCGGCGAAACCTTCTCATTGACAACAGCTGTAGGCAGCGTAAAGCCCATGACTCGCTTGGTGCGGCCATTCAGAACCGGGAAGTGTTTGTTGGTAAAGCGGGGCGGAACCGCCCGCTCTGGGGGCGGAACTGCCTGTCTGTGGTAACGGCACCCTCCCCCCTTCCGTCACCCCTCCCCCGCGCTCAGCGACCGTGACGTGACGCCACATCACGTCATTCGCGCCGCTCTGCCGACAAACACAAACAAACAAACCGTGTGGGGCGGCACGCATCTGCATACAAAAACACCCTCCGAGCCGCCGCCCCCAGTCCGCCCGGCCTAGTTACTGGGCAGCCCTAGTTACTGAGCATCCCAGTCAGCTGGTGAGAGCCAGACGAGCTGAGACCCGGAGCTGCAGCCGAGAGCAGCTAAATCACAGCGGTCCGGACGGTGTATCCGTGTCCGCGGCTGATGTAGGCGCTCGGACGCTGATTTAGGCGGTTGGACGCCGCTCTGGAAGGGAGAGGCGGCGCCGCCGAGACGGTCCCTGGCACGCCTCAAAGGAGCGCCAGGCGGCAATCAGGCGGCTCATTCAGAGGGTGAGCTACGACCGGTGGGACGGGCTGAGAGAGCTGGGCGCTAGCCAGGCTGGGGAACGCGCACTGAGTGGCTACACGAGGCCGTCTCAGACGGGGCCACGTGCGGACGTGTCGTCAAGAGGGTTAAATCGGTCCTCGCGGTGCTGGTCCGTCCAGCGGCGACGGATCGCCATGGTAACGAGCGTTGTAGAGGCCAGAATCCTTCCCGTTGGCGGCGGTATGCCGTTTGGGAGGCGCCGGTATTACAGACGCAGCACTCGTCTCTGTCATTTTTCTTCAATCAGCCCAATGAGCCCGATCGTGTCGAGAGATCAAAGGAGATCTGTCCGCGGCCATTTCGCTGGGTGGGTTTTGGTCGGCGAACGTGGCTGGCCCCGTATTGCTGCGCTGACCAGTCTCGCTGACCGATAGCGGTCGGTCTCTGAAGCCACAGCGATCTCCGTGGTCGAAGGTAGAGAGTCTTGATCTCCTCTACCCTTTCTCACGAACCATAGCGGGTCGGTGAGACCTCCAACCGCTCTTACGGAGAGGCACTGTCAGACTTGCATCGCATCTCTGAAGGAGAGGGAGGATTTCTCGCTGCATACTGAGTTAAAATGTTCTTCCGAATATTTACGGGTGTTCTGTCGCAAAATAATCGTGTCAGCATGAAATACTACCCTAGCTGGGACACAGCAAAGAGTGTACCAAACAACCGTATATCATTTTTTTTCAAGCCGCAGTATATCATACCAAGCGACACATATTCCTTTCCTTTCGCACCTTTTCATAAACAAGCTCTACCGTTCTCATCTCGATATCAACTCCCCTGCCGGCCGGTTGAGCCAGCTGACTCCGTTTTATGAGGCCTGCGGACCTGAATACGTCGTTACATGAACAGAACGGGCTCGGCGGCGCCGAACCACCCTATCGACTGGCCGCGTGGCATCCTGTCCCTCTGAGAACCGTCTCTGTAGCTCAGAGAACGGCTCCGTCACCGTGAGTCGTGTTCGATAACGACCGACTGTACTGCGGCCGACAGTCACTCTGGTGCGATATGCTCTCGTAACGCGCTGCTATGACGCGATAAATGTTGACAGCTATTATGAATATGGAGAACCGAAAGTGACTACCAGTTATGCTTCCTGTCAGGTAAGATATTGAGCATTACGGCGGGTGAGTAAATAAACCCTGATTTATTCCTTGAACTAAATTAGGTTTAGTCGATGCTAATTATTGCTCCCTCGTAACTGAGCTATGCCACTCCAAACATGCCTTACAGGAACGTTTCGTGCCATCCAACAGCTTCCGAGTCCTCGCAATGATCTTGAAGGATAAACCTAATATGTGAGATGATGTTTTTCGTACTCCAGCGTAGATGGGTAGCCATACGGCTTCCACGGTTGACAGTGATGGCATCAGTAATCTTTTGCATCTTTAAATCAACATTTTACAACATAAAACAACATTTTTGTCATCTTTAAAAACAACACCTAAGGATAAACCTAATATTTACCTCTCCCTTCCTCGGCCAGTAACAGCCGATGACCAGAAATATCCCAATGTATGCGCTGCCTCCGATCAGTTCTTTGTCCGTATTCACCGATTGGGATGCCCTGCCATGACCGATCCTGGCCGGTCGCCATAGGCCAGGGTAGGCGGGGGCGGCACTTTTTCACGGCTGGCGGACCAGTATCCGGCTATTACCGCCCCACCCCCGTCCAGCCCTCCGGCCCCTCCCCGTGCCCCCATATCCCCAACGGCGCGCAGAGGGCACCAGCCAGCAGCTGTGCGAAATGGCCGGGACATCGGAAAGGCTCACTAGGAAGTAGCACCAATACCAGGAACAGGACTGAGACGATTTTAAATCAGAGGAGATTTGAGATGGCACGACAAACACACAAAAAGCAATCCGTTAAATCGTGCTTATTTGAAATCGGTACAGAAAATGGTACCTACTGGATTTAACTTACTTCGAAAAGCTGATTTCTAAAAACGATCGTTTTGATGATGAAATAGTCGAGCACATTAGTTGTCTAGATAGTTATGCAATGCAGAGAAGAACGCTTACCTGTGACTTTGACGAAGAAGCTGCGCGCCCTGGCTCTCTGTTTGGTCTCGACTTCAGAGATGGGTGGCATCTGGCAGGTGTAGATGCCCGTGTCGCCGTACAGGGCGCCGTCCAGGTGCATCCTGGTGGAGAAAAACAACACAGAAATGTCACAGGGGCTCTGCAAAACTCCAATGGATCCTCTACTGCACAAACGGATGGCAGTATCGTTATAGGAGGACGCTCAGTCTGATTTATATTCATGTGTTTATGTCTCAGACGGCAGACCATAATGGATTCCTACCGGAGATCGACACAATCGCTCCTTTCTGCTTTTCCGGACATTTAACCCTCGCCCGTAAACGGCGATCTGCCACCTTCGCCCATGCAGGGGGGGGGGGGTTGGTGCGACCCCCCCCCCTTGGCGTTTGAAAACGGAGCGTCGTAGAGCTTAGCGGAAAAGACCAACGGATTGCTCTCGCCGAGATCTCGCGATTGGTGGTATATTTTTTGGTCCTAGGTCAACATTTGACCTACTTTTGACCGGTCAAAGGTCAAATTTTCGGAAAAATAGACTTTTTCAACTTTCGGCGGCGATTGCGGCAAAACGGTGGGAGATATCGACTTGAAACCTTCACTATAGTGTTCCTTGATCAATTCTCTATCGTTTGGTATGTATTTCGTTTCCCTAGCTCTAAAAATGGCGCGTTGGGAGCGCCGGAAGTCGGCAAGGTCACAGTCGGCGGCAGAAATTCGAAAAATCAAAATTTAAATTTATGAAATCTGATTGTATTTTTGGATTTGGGAGGTCCATTTGCTCCCTATAGAAGCTAATATTGCTGCATATTCCCATTGAGGTGACAAGAATTAGCAAAATAGTGGTTCGGGCGCTTTTCAAAAATAGTACCGGACGCTGTTCCTCTTGTGACGTCATAGCTCCGTGACCTGACCTGACCCGGTCAAGTTTCTTATACCATATGATAGCCAATACTTGCCCCAACATGCATGGGAAGTTTCATCACGATCCATCAACCGATCTCCGTACCACCGGCAGGAAACCTCGGGCGTTGGCACTCAGTTTGTGAAAATCCGGCCGGAGGCTGTTCCCTTTGTGACGTCATAACTCCGTGACCTGACATGACCCGGTCAAACTTTTTTTATCAAAAGATGCGCAAGGTTTGCCCCATAAGGTACCCAAAATTTGGCGGCGCTGCGCGCCGCCGTTTTTGCACTATTTCCGAAAAACCTCAGGGGGGGGTTGCACCAACCCCCCCCCCCTACATGGGCGAGGGTTAATCGATTTGGAATGGGCCGTGGGCCGCGCTCCTGCAGTATTATCGAAATGGGTATAATGCTTAGCCTTGTGGGTAGCGAGCCTCTTCGATGACTGCTTTCGCAGCATAGTTCCACAAAGGGTTTGAACAATATTGAGTGAGTGCCTGTGCGTGATTTGGGATATGAACGAAGCAATAGATAAAAGCTTCTTTTAGATCTGATGAGAGGGGAATTTCAGAAAAATCGCAGGAAAATTATGCTGTCAAAAACAGACGAGCACAAAAGCTATCTTTGGAAGCGTGGGCTGCCGAAGCACCTCGGGGTCTGGTGGCCAGGTGCGGCTGCTCGTTTCGCTGCCGATCCCGTCAGCAGCGAGAGGTCATCACCGACCGACCGCAGCGAACTTATTTTGGCAGCTGCTTTATACGAGCGCAGTCGCTCCGCGCCGAACTTTGTGGCTGTTTCTTGTCATCCATTGCACAGCTGCGGCAGTGGAGGGCCGCTGACGAGCTCCTAATTCGTCTCGGAGAACTTCGGCCCACCCAATTACTCTCGAGACAAAAACGGCGCGCCGCCGAGTTGGCCGCGCCGCCAGCGCCGCAGCTGGTCTGCTGCGCGCCGCTACCGCCGCAGCTGGCTCGCTACGCGCCACCACCACCGCAGTCGGCCTGACGTGAGCGTCAACACCTATTCCCGAGACGTGCCGAGCTTGCGGTGGCCGCCCTCAGGACCTGCGTTCCCCGGGGACGGGGATGCTGCGTGCGGCGGCGCGCCGCTTTCGCCACCGGGCGGTCAGTGGGGAGTGCGTATTGACAGCCGCGCCACCGCCGCCGCCGCGCCGAAATTGAATCAGAGCGCCGCGACTGGCCAGCGGGGGTGGTGTCGTGGTAAGGGTGGAGCGGCTGAATGTGTTGTCTATAACCCCGGCCACCGAGCTGGGCTGAGTTGGCCGGCCGGGGTGGAGTATCCAACATAGCTGGGCTGGGTTGAAGTGGTCTAGCTTGAGCCAATGAGACAGTCTGCCCTGCCTGTGGGCTGAAGCCATGAGCTCTCCCACTGGATCACCCATATCGCCTGCAGCTAAGGATAACTGACAGTCGAGACAGCCCGAGAGCACTCTCTGAAGTGATCCAGATGGAGGCGTCGAGCCGGCGCGGTGAGGCGCTCAGAATAAGACAGCTGAACGGTCAGACGGAGGCAGCCTGCCGGCCGGTCGGTTATAGCTACTGAGTGTTACTAGACCGACTTCGGACTGGATGGCTGCGGAGGGGACCGTGTCCGTCAGACGGGGTGGATCTGGCAGACAGGCTCTGACCATCAGACGCAGTCTATCAGCAGACGGGGTCCGGTCAGGTGGTGACGCTGTGCCCAGCCGGCAGCCGTTTCTCGGCCGGCCCAGGTGGGAGGTCGATACCTCTCGTCCGGTTCTGATCGGCCCCACATGGCCCCTGGCGGCGGCTGGTTCATAACAGGCCCGGCAGACGGGCCGGCCGCTCAGGAGGGCTGAATTATTGAGCCGGCCGTGCCGGTAGCGCGCCGGTAAATTATGGTCTCCGCGGCGCCGCCTCTGCCGGAGATCTGCCGCCTCTGCCGGGTGGCTCCGGCTGTCAAAGCCCCTCCCCTAAACAGAAGCCGAGCTGCCCCCACAGAGCCCGCCCCAGACCCCGGTGCCGTTTTTCGTGACGCATAGGTTTCCTTTTTCCAATATAAAGTGCTGGTGTGACTTGGAAAGAAATAATTATTTCTGCACAGTTGCAGAGCTAGCTTGACATTTGTTTCGGCTGTTAAATGTCCTTGCGAAGCGTTAGTTTGGATGAAACTAATACTATTCAAGCACAAAGGCTATCCCTGCCAGCAATTTTCACCACGCTTCGAAAATAGGCCATCTCCAAACAATGCCGGCATTTATTCCACCAAACAGCAGCAAAAACTCTCCAGCTGATAGCAGCCAAATCTTGAAAGGAATCTCAGAAGAGAGAAAACCGGAGCCATCGAGAGCTTCAAAGCGACCTGCCGGGTATATGGGAAGCGGCGACTCCGGCTGTGGTTTTGAATGATCCGGCGGTGGGCGGTGGCACTGATTAACTGATTTGTGTGGTGTGTGGATGATCCGTTTGATCTGCTGAAGTTTCTATACCTGGTCGGTTGGCAAATAGAAATGCGTGGAGCCTGTTGATATCAGATCACTGTTGACACATTACGGCTCGGATTAAATGGACGAAAGGACGCAGCGAGTTAGCTGAATGGGAATATGCGGGCGGCAGTAGCGGGCTGCGACCAACTCGTAATTAACCCACCGCTTGCAAAACGGGAATGGAGAGGCGTTTTACCACCTCAGGCCTTTTGGCTAGATCAGAGAGAAGAACATTCATTTATGATTAGGTATCTTTTATTATTTCTTGTGTAAGGGATATAAAATACAAAATAACAGCGATAGCCGTTATAAATTAACTAACTACAGCAATACGGTGAGATCCAGATTAAGTGGCAGGACGATTCAACAGCGCCATGCATTACTCTGCGCCCGCCCCGGCCGCCGCGCCGCACGGTTACGGTCTGCGTGCCAGGCGGCACAGCATACCTTCAGGCGCTACTACTGCTGCCACCTAGCGGCAGGACTATAAGCTGTCATGGTCGCCCGGTGGTATTGGCTGCATCGGCACGGACGGGGAGGTAGACTGTAGCAACAAGTTAAAACTCACTTGATGCATATTAACATTTGCCTTCTGATACATAATCCATACGTAAGAATGGCTGTGCGTTTGTTACGTGATTAGATCATCGGCACGTCGAAGCCTTAAAAAGGCGGTGCCGAGGACATTCGTTGGCCTAACAGAGATACGGTTGTCTCAACATTCAGATTCAATTTTTACTACAGTAAATGTTCCGTTTCATCAGATTTTGTTCAACAATCATGAAGAGCAATGCGTTCAAACTCTTGAACCTAATCATACCTGACCTTCACCTTCCACCGACTAATTCCGTTATCTATACACAAGCCTTTCCGTGTTGGCCTTTATCATTTTGACGTTGACCTCGACTGACTAATTTGTGGCAATGCTACTTCTAACAACCACTGACATACTTGTGGCTGGTGACCTTTAACCCTATTCCTGGCGGGGGGGGGCCTCAGGAGCCCCCCCCCCCTGAGGTTTTTTGGTTATATCTCCCAAACGCGTTGAGCTAGGAAGCTCAAATTTTCTGACTTTTCCTAAAAGGCTTCTACGCAACATGTCTTAAAATTTTGAGTTGATCTGACATCAGGTCAGGTCACCAGAGGCGGTTTGGTGACGCTACCTCAGAAAAGTTTGCAATCACGTTAGAGCTAGAGTTTTTGACCGATCAATTTCTTCTCTTCAGGGTTTAGTTAAGGTACCAGTATGTGCAATTTGTAAATCTCGGAATTTTGATATCGGTGACCTAAGGTCAGGTCAATTTCGCGACCTCCCCATTATAAGTCAATGGGGGGGGAAAATCAACTCCCTGTTTTTACCACTAAAACGGGTCGGAATGGCCCCATATACCATACATGACTTCATATACGATCAACCTTCACTACCTTGAGGTCTGTTTTGCTGTTGGGCAGCTGTGAGGTCATGTGACGTCATCAAAGGTCACCAAAGGTTTTTGGCCAATAACTCCGTACAGGAACAAGATACAGACGCGTGGATGGTCTCATTGTGTTCAGCTCGTCAAGACGCATCGAATGATATACATGATGACCTCGAGGTCACGTGACCTGAGGTCAACCTTTGACCTTGACCTTTCGAGGTCAACATATACATCATTCGATGCGGATTGACGAGAGGATCACGATGATGCCCTTAGTTTGTTCCTATCTTGACTAATTCGAAAGTTATTCGAGAAAAACTCTCTCCATATCTAGTGCCGCCATTTTGACTTTTTCGACCCCTGTGACGTCACCTTTGACCTGACCTGAAAATGACCTTAGTAAAAATTGTAGATCTTGGCCGTGCGTATCCGATGCCGTTTACCGCTTGTCGCTATCTTGCTTCGTTCTCGAGATCTCAGGGGGGGGGGCCGAATCGGCCCCCCCCCCCGCCAGTTTCTTGTCCCGGCGGAGCCCGCCAGGAATAGGGTTAAATATCAAGCAACTCATTTGTCATTTCGTGACCTCTGTCTAGCCTGAGATAATGTCGACACCCGTTCACCTCAACATGTCACCTGTGCTGCGCGACCCGCAACCTTTGACCCCTGTCGACTGACCTCAGGTCAGGTCAGTCAACTCCCCAGGAGGTGACTGACCTGTGACCCCGGTTGGTGACTGAGCTGTGACCTCAGCGCACTGACCTGTGACCTCAGCTCACTGACCTGTGACCCCGCGAAGTGACGGCCGCCTGTCCACCGGCCGTATCCTCCCGTACCCAGCAGGGCGACTCGCGGGTCCGGTCCTGGCTGCCCGGGTCGCTGCATTTGAGCGACACCGGCGCGCCAACGGTGGTCTGCACCGTCCGGAATCCGGTGTTCTCCACTCCGGACAGCTCGTCTGATAAAAACAGACAACAGAAACAGAGGTTAACAGAGGGTAACTGCGTGAGGTCGGAGGGGAGGGGCGGAACAATGAGGCAGTGGAGATCATGGACTTTTCGGTCATTCAGGTACAAATGCTATGAAAAACAACAGCAATAGCAAGTCGTCGGATTTAATGCAACGAACCGCTGAATGTCCAATCACTATTCTGGTCTCATACTGCTTACTCCATGCTCTTAAGAAGATGTCAGCTTCGCGGTCAACTATTGTCCCAACCACCACGCATTGTTGAAATTGAAACGTCAAACTCGACCCTGTAATGCACTTCGTGAATTTGTGGGCAGCGCCAGCTCAGGCCAGCCTTGTGAAGCCGTAACGCCTGGTGAGCCACTCAGCAGCGGTAGTGCACTCGGGACCAATTGGAGTTATGTGCGTCTAATGCCAGCCGGCGCCGCGGGGCTCCACTGGCTGGACCGAAACCCCTGCACCCGAGTGTTTTACTCAGCGAGATATATTGGAAGTTACGGGCCAGGCTGTATAAAGCCGCCTACCTACTCAGCATATCAGTTTGAGAGCAAAATGGGTATATTTTGCTTTGGTAAAGTGCCTCACTGAGGACGGTACAGGCATCTCTGAGACTCAGTCTCGACAGTTCACTCTCGCAAATGTTCGTCGTGCAGCACCACCCACACTGCCCCTCCCCTTAAATCGCTATTACTGCGCCACTATCGCTGCAACCGCGCCACTATCGTCTCAGTCGCGCCACTATCGTCGGCAGGCCGTCGATGTGCGCCGGCCGCAAATCACGGCTGAGCTCGATCCGGCGGTGAAGGAAAGGGCCACAAATTAGACGGTGTGCCGATGTTAGTCGATACTGCCCGCGATACGCCGAGTGGCGCATGTCGGAAAAACGGTGCCTCACAGCCCGCACTGTGTCTGTGAGAGCGTGGAGTGAGTGAGTGAGTGAGTGTGTTTGGGGCGGCTGTCAGTGCGTCAGGTATAGTCTGTGTATCCCTGTGACCGTGTGTATGTCTGTGTGTATTTGCCTGAGCGTGTATGCGTCTGAGTCTGTGTCGCGCTGGGCGGGGCACTATCGACCCGCTCTATTCTTTTGAGTCTTGCATTGCAACCGCGACCTTGAGTTGCAGACGCTACACAAACATAAAACTACCGGGTCGGCTCGACCTAGCGACATGCAGTCGGCAGTAATTTAGCGGCGTGTTACGCGGACAATAGTCGTCCGCCCGCAGCAAAATGGGATGAATGATTTAATGACAGAGCAATAAATCGACCATCAACAGTCAACACCGTATTTGGAATCTTCGGTGAAATAAATGGGTGGGGGTGGGGGGGGGGGAGTATTGCAAACTCGTTACGCCAAGTTTGTAATGCATGTGCATTGTGCAATGTGCATGAACCGTAAGACGGGACTTTTTGTAAGGCTGGGAACTTTTGATACACCATGCTGCGATCACCTAAATCAATATGATGGAAAAACTGTCAACTAGTTTGTCATTCAGCGCGAATGCGTGTGTGGTTGAGCGGTTGGCAATAAAGACAATTTCTAAAAGCTCTCTTTGAGAGTTTTGGTCTTAAATAGGTAAAAAGAACCGAAAAAAACGCACTTTTTGATTTGCCTGAACAAAATGAACAATTGACCGTGCATGTTTTTGTCCCGGTCGAGCCATCGGTAGTTGTTTTTTTCAGTTAATGTGAGCTATTTCCGCACCCATCAGCCCACATCAGCGCCGCCGTTTCGGCCGAGCAAAACGCTGCCCGGGCGCGGCTGATCAATTATGGAAATAAGTGAGCCGCCCGCTGCACTCTGGGCAATTTCAGTCAGAACTTATGGTCGTCACACAGTATTTGTCCCGCCAAAATGGACAGACGACCTTAGGTACAAACAAAATAAATGTGCCGAGTCGGTTAAGAGAGGCACACTTAATGTCCTGGTTTAAAGGGACCCTCCCACCTTCAAAAAAGTTAATGAATTGGCATGAAAGTGATGTCGCTCGGTTCAGAAAGAGCAAAAACGAATATCTACCGAATTTCATCGAAAAATATTCACCGGTTTTCAAGATATTAGACTTTTACTTTTGTTTACTTTTTGGGATCTCCGCTGTTCCTAGCGACTTTATTTGAAAGTGCGGCATTTGTTGCGCGCAAAGCAGCATATACCACCGCGTGCTACAAAACGTTTTAGTCAAACATTTAAAGGGACCCTCCCACCTTCAAAAAAGTTAATGAATTGGCATGAAAGTGATGTCGCTCGGTTCAGAAAGAGCAAAAACGAATATCTACCAAATTTAACCGAAAAATATTCACCGGTTTTCAAGATATTAGACTTTTACTTTTGTTTACTTCTTGGGATCTCCGCTGTTCCTAGCGACTTTATTTGAAAGTGCGGCATTTGTTGCGCGTTAAGCAGCATATACCACCGCGTGCTACAAAACGTTTTAGTCAAACATTTAAAAATCGTTAGATATCTGCGCTGACGTCACACATTCAGAGGGGTATTCCTATGCATTAGCCCTTCTGAATCAAAATGCTGCAATTTTGAAATTCAATATTTCCGATTTAAGGCATTTCTCGATGCTGTGAGTGCCGAAACCGGTAATTGTGAGCCAGGGACCCCATTTTGGCTACCTCAACTCAAATCTAATGTTAAGGTGGGAGGGTCCCTTTAACGGACGTTCGAAAGCCTGATGACGTCATCAGATTCCCGTAATGGTTAAGAGATAGGGACCACGCTGGTCCCACCCTGCAAGTAAAGGGAAGAAATTTCTTGAACACCATAAAGCTGCGGGGGTTGCGATCAGGATAAATGGTGGTTTCTGAGCCTGGCCGCAAACTTGGCTATCTCAACTCAAAACTAATGTTAAGGTGGGAGGGTCCCTTTAAAAGGCACGCCAAAAACATACGGTACTGATCATTTTGGACGTATTGGCACCGATTAATTTGAATGCAGTTTGGATGGAGCGTTACAGCGTGATCCAGTTAAACATTGCATCCGACCTTAAATGTGTATTTTATTTTGTTTTATTTTTTATGTTAGCTCAATTAGAACGAAGCCGTAAGACCTGCGTCTGAAGTTCCTGGACCTACCTCTGACGTTCAGGTAGTAGCTGTCGGTCCTATCACTGAAGATCATGTTCAGTAAGTGTTGGACCTACCTCTGACGTTCAGGTAGAAGCTGTAGAAGGTGACGTAGTTGCCCAGGTTGTTGGACCTACCTCTGACGTTCAGGTAGAAGCTGTAGGAGGTGACGTTGTTGCCCAGGTGGTTGGCCGTGCACTGGTACCACCCCGCGTCCTCCATGGTGATCGGGTTGAAGAGGATGGTGCCGTTCTTCACCGGCACGCGGGGCGGCGAGTTGTCTGTCCGCAAAGTGGGAGAAGTCGTCAGTTTCCGACATCGGAGTGAAACACAGTAGCAAGGCTTTTTAGTTGTGCAGTACGCCATTTGATTTAGGTAATGTTGCTCACCTACCATTGTACTCATGTACAATATATGTTTTCTTTCAAAATATGTATGCCATCTCTACGCATCATGTCACCACGATGCATAATAAAGCTATCCCTCTCTGAGTCATAAGTTCAAAGTTACACCCCAGAAACCTGACAGGCAACACACACCGATTGGCGGAACTAACAAAGACCCGCCCTGTCGAGACATGTGGCCCCAACTAGTGGAACAAACGACCATAATTGGCACCGGCGGCTGTATCGCCGCGAACACGCCTCAGTGCACTGGGCACCGGCTGACGCATCGGGTCAACTGGACTGGAAAGGACATCCCCAGACCAACTAGATCAGATGCAATCGCACGCCAAGCATTGAGGTCAAACACAATTCCTGATTCAGGAGTTTACTGAGAACGGTTGCAGCCATGGAGCGTCTCGATGGTGCCTATAAATGACTTGGTGGATCATATTCAGAGCCTGAATCCATATTCAGAGCCAGAGTAGTCTGGCGTTGTGAGTAAGAGGTCCATATTCTGCTCCGGGTCTCACCTTTCACCCAGCGCGGTGGCACCGGCGGGTTGGACTCTGCCAGACAGGTGAGGTTGACCCTCATCCCGCGCAGGATTGGGTTTCCGAACGCCGGTGTTCGGATCACGGTGAAATTAGGCGGGTCTGAAACAGCACAGAACACAGTCAACAACGATAGAAACTTTGTCTGAAGATGGTAATTCAAGGCGATACAACATGTTATTGATTGCTGCAACGTTCATGGTAAACGTTGCTAGATCACCCGTCGTGGAATGAAAGTGACACACCATTTGACACAACAATCATTGAATGAAAATAGATTTGTTGCCAGGCCCAACGAACCATTTCAAGGTCCGAGCACTAACAATCCCACGAGAAAGTCCCGCGCCGACCGCTGCCGCTGGGACCACGGTCCACTCGACCGTTTTAGATGACATCCACGCCGACTGACAAGACCCCGTCCCCGTTCGAAATGTGATTGGTCTGCCATGTATGACGGCCATGTGTGTGGGCTCGAACGGGGCGCCGCCGGACCGATGTGTCCTCCATCAGCCTAATGGAAGGGAGACACGGCTGGTGGGGCGTGACAGGGTCGTGTTCCGAATACCAGCGCCCAGGCTGGGCTGTCTAGCGCCCGCCGGCCCAGTGGACCGCTAACCCAGTGGCAGAGATAGTGAAATCCCGCCGGAGCTCTCACAGGCCAGGCTTTGATCTTTTTTCGATAAACATAATCGCAGGCCAGGCGGTTTCTAGAATCCGCTCAAATCGTCGTGGGGATATGGTGAATTGCTTGGGTAAGCATATGAGTTTCTTTGTGACACTGTCACAGTGCCGTAAAAACGTTTTCTTATGAATGCAGTAATGCTTATTCAAATTATTCTTCATTTTCAACAAAGATATTCGGCCATACAAGTCAATTTTGCGACGACAAACCTCTACTTTATAACTTTGACAAAACCACTGTGGCGACTCAAATCGCTCGTCCTCATCAAACAGCAATAGATTGGCAAAGTTGTCCGCTGAGTGCCGTCAGATGTGCATTGGTCCGCTCCAAATACAGCGGCGTCTCTCTCTTGGCGCCGCTGACAGCCGGTCATTGGGTGTAATCACGGCCATTCTTCAAGTTCAGCGGCAAAGTTCACGCCGACGGGCGAGCTCTCGGAGACGGAAACTCACCGAACCGTCAGCCAGTCGCCGGCGAGGCGGCCGCCCCGCCCCGGTACTTGCAGTGTGTAGCAACGAGTCTGCATTCCGCAGTCACCGGAACGGGCTCATAACAAAGTTGGGTCGACGGATTGTGAGAAGTTGAGCCGTTGGCTGATCCGGAGTCATTTGAATGACGGCAACAAGTCAGGTCAAGGTTAGGACTAGAGTTGACCTGATTCAGAAAGGCGGGCGGCTATTATGTTATTTTGTTTTATACAGTAAAGCAGGGGTAAAATAAAACTACATAAGGTGGTTCGGTGCATTACTTCTTATAATCTGACAAGCCACTGGTCTGAATTGGGTAGCTTCACCGTCTAAGTACTAGCTTACTGCAAGTGAATCAGCGAGCCACACCCCCGAGCAAGGCCACGGCGCCATCACGTTTCCAGACCGTCTGCGCCCTCTCCCCCCCCCCCCCCCGCTTCATCTGCGTCCATCAGAGACAGCAGCTGCACTTGGTGTCCGGGCGCCGCGGTCGTCCTTCACGCCCTCCTCCCTCCCCTCCCCCACTCTATCCGCAGCCGGCAGACGCAGACACAACACTGCTCCCTCCGCCGCGTGCGCTGATCCCTCTTCCAGTGAGGCGGTGGTCCAAACTCGTGGCTGCGAGCAGCGAAGGAGCCTATATTTAGCGGCGGGGCGCAAAGAAAAATGGAACGGCGTTTGGGACAGCATAAAATGTGATGAGGGCCGAGGATGTTGTTAACAGGCAGATATGGCGGAGGTTTTATTCTGAGCTGAACAGTTCATAGTGCTGTGGAATGGTTTACGGCAAGTGGTAGGGGTGCAATAACAGTTTGGCCGAGTCGGTTCGATAGGTCGTGGCGATAATATCGTTCGCGTTTGTCTCCGGTTGAATTGTCTCATGTCCGACTGTCAGAGACTTTACGCTCAGCAATGGTTCAGTTGTTATCAGCGACAAGTCGCAGACGGCACTGATATCGTGTCGTTCTGCTACACTGAAAACAAATCGACACAGTGAGGGCATGTTCTGTACTGGTAACACATCAGTCATGTGTTAATCGCACCCAAAACACAATAAGGCTGTGTATTTTCACGCTTGGCGGGACCTTCGACACGTTTGATAACACAGAAAACAAAATAATGACACACTTTTCTCGTGCCAAGCACGCTGGACGAATGTAATGCATCAGTGTATCGAAATCATGTGTTGTCGGATATGGTAGACGTGTACCCTTACACAAATATTCCGTGCCATACACCAGTCAGCGACCTCTGAACCTTAACTTCAGATGGGGATAACAGAGGGCGTTTTTCGAGCACCGACTTTGATGCTGCGTTTTTGTAAAAATTTGTCAAAGTGTTTTGAGAAAGATCAAAATGCACAATACAGCCGAGGGAGTCGATACATGATAAATTGTCTGAAGCAATATGCGCTGATTACATCAAGTGCAAGCTGAAGCATAGCTAATTAACGTCTGCTTGGAGGAAGAAACTCCTCGGTCTATATAGGATATATTTGAAAAATCGGTGGCCGAAAATTTATCCCGGCTGTCTGGACAACTGAATTGTGCAGTAGTCCTCAAATTTGGGGCATCGTCACTTGGTGCTCTGATTGAGCCGTCCACGTGACGCGTTCACCCTTCGGCTCTGGAATGGTCGACCGGGCGCAACTCCAGCTCGTGTATGGGTCGGCGGCCTCGTATGGGTCGGCCGGCCGCGTGCTCAGCCCTGACCGCGCTCTGACCGTATGGGTCGGCCGGCCGGGTGCTCAGCCCTGACCGCACCCATGCGCCCGATTCCACTCGGGACCCGGCTTTGGCAATCAGCCTGTTCAGCCAAAGCCAAAGTCCCTTCAACTGCGCCGCGCGCCAAATTTTGGGTACCTGTAGGGAATTGATTGAAGTTTATTGTGACAAAGTTTCAAAAAAATCGGGTGGAAAATTTTTTGAAATATCGAGGTGTTAGTGATGTCATGATTTCTGAGTTTTCGACCAAAAACGGTATGTTCAAAAAATCATATAAAATCACAGAATAGACATACAGACATGCCGTAAACGCCATTAGACTGCCAATACCATGAACAATCAAATGACTATCTTCGATTATTGATTATCGTTACGCATTTTCCAAAATCGTGAACTGAATCTTGGCAATTTCTCGTGACTACTTCAGGAGTCAGGACCATGATACATGCATTTCTTAAATTGAACTTTTTTAGCCAAACACGTACACATATGAAAAAATGAATGTCACCATCTTGTTCTACGCCCCAAATTACCCTTAAAACATGTGCCACAGGCTACGAATATCAGTTTTGATTTTCGGGGATATGTGCCTGCCCGTTTGACCTATGCTTGACTGACCCCTACATGGAGCTGACACTCTTGTAGGCCTTATATGATGGATTGTGCACCGTTTTGACAGAGTTTATGACGAGAGGCGGCCATTGCGAAGTCCTGAAGTCCATGCTACTGAAAGCCCGATTTCAGGTGTTTGACCTGACCTTGACCCGACCTGTGACCTTAAAATTCAACTTTAAAGTACTCATCTGAAGCGTCTCGTCGCGTTCTTTCGTTTGCCGCCTCGTGCGTTTCGCTGCGCCTATCGGTTCTCGAGTTATCGGCTGGGGGCGTTTAACGCCCCCCCCCCCCCACCAGCAAACGGTGGGTGGCGAAATACCCCAGCAACTGCCGGGTTAAGATCAGAGGGCTCACGCAGTCTCCGGCACAGTCTTACGTTGGTCCTGATCGAGATTACTTTGCGTCCTGATGGTCCCGCGCAGATTCCCTCATATTTCGATGTCGGGACCCCATGAGCCGGTGTGGGTCCTGGGGCTGGCAGAGACTGATGAAGTCCTCAGGGCTCAGGGCCAGTCTTTTCAGCATGAGGACTAGGCAGGTTGAGTGGGCCCAAATAGAGCCGTTGCGAAGCCCCGCAGGAGTAGCGCGCGACCCTCAGATGCCAATTTTGAAAGCTCGGAACCTGTGGGGGGTCTCCAGAGGTCGGTGTACCTACTCTCTCCCGCCGCCACAGAACTAGGTATGTTACCTATATGGGTAAATGTCATAGTCTGAAAATGCTCTCTGGGTTTCACATGCTTGTTCAAAGCAAGAGGTATATGTACTTTTCCGAATTGTTTTATAGTGGTAAGGTCATGAATCCGCGTGCCTGACCTTCCAGTATACCTATGCTACACCGATCCGTCGTCATGGTGCAGTGGGCCGACCGGTGGAAGCACCGTGGGACGGGAAATGGAACTGGTGATTTTGCCTTAAATTGAGCTTAAAAATTTCACGCAAGAATCAGATGGCTGAAGCATAAGTAATGCCAACTGCGCGGCACCTCGTGGACGTAAAAAAATTAGCCGATCACCCCCCCCCCCCTCCCCCCTCCCGGTGACGGATAAATGTTATGTCCCGCGAGTGTGACTTTGGCCCCCCCTTTTGCTAGCGGCTGCGACCGCCAGTGCAGGCCTATGATTCCAGGATATTTTAGAATCCAGTCCTACATGTGTGTGTTTCCGTGTCCGATTGGATAAAGGTCAAGGCTTCTCTTTGATGATGCTCATGTTCATAAATGAAATTACCTACTTTCTTCCGTTGAAAGGTAGTCTAGCTTGAGTATCGCCAACACTTCAAGCAGTAGTAGACGGAACAGGACTTTGCATCCATTGATGAGCTGCTTTTATCCCATGGCTTCTCTGGCAGCCTTAGAACTTGACCCGTTAGGTTACGTCGCTCTAAACTTCAATCGCCGGGTTCATGGCCTTTACCCACGACAGACGATACGTCCGATACTCTATAAGGTCAGCATCAGCTTCTGGTGGTGCTCTTTTTTCAGAGACTGACATGGTTTTTGAAACATATGGTTGAAAATGCATTTTAAAATGAATTTTCTATCGAAAATGCTCAGCTCTCACGGTCTTCAGTGGCAGTATTTAGACAGCAGACAATCCAGACATCTGAAGACAGTTCAGACAGTCCAGCCACCCAGATAGGGTTTCTGCTCCAGCCGCCCCCAGCCGCCCTCCCAGCTAACTCCGGGGGCGGCTCGGGGCCCTGCGGTCGTCCGCCGCCGGAGATGGCTCCTGGAAGTATGGTTTACGAGCGCCTCCTCCCGGGGCCTCACCAGCCTGGGGCCGGCACGTCCCGCCAACGACCGTTATATCTGGTTATAGAGGCAAACTGCCCACACCGGCACCGTTAAATGCTACTCGGCCCGGCCAGATTATCATAGACGGCACACGGGCGGCCGACCCTCCCGTGGCCGGTTGGTCGGAAGCACCTCTTCACAACACCTGTGCAGAGTGGATAAACCGGGCTGCCAGCTGCTGGCTCGGAACTCGAAAGGCGGGAAAGAGAGGTTTGCGTTGCGACCAATAAAAACACTGAACAAAAACCACACCACACAGTATTAGGTGACTGCTGGGGCTACTGGGAATCCCAACAGTTCTACGCATGGCTTATGACTTATCATTCCAATATTGCTAATAATTTCATATTTCATATTGCTGATTCATTCCGATTTGACCCGACCTGACCTGACTCGAACCGTCCCGATCCAACCCAACCCCATTCCCGGGTACTCACATTGCACATCCAGCTGCAGAGAGGTCCTCTGTCGGACCCGCCAGTGCCGATGGGACGTAACACACGTGACCTTCTGACCGGCCAGGTCACGGGTCATATTCAGTGTCACGTGACTCCTCGTAGTGAACAGCTGCGTGCCGGCGGCGGCCCGCAGAGGCGTCACCGTCCTCCGGCTCTGGGCTGTGACGTTCTTCTCCGCGCTGCCCACCAGCCAGCTGAGTTCGGCCGGTGGTAGGGAGCGCTCCGAGACACAGGTCAGGGTCACAGGGACGTTCTCTCGGACGGGCAGAGGTAGGCCGACGGCGGGCCGAGACTCGCCCACCAGCAGATACGGCTCACCGGGCGGCACTGTGGGGGAGACAGACGGGGTACGGTCAGACGGTTCGCGCTGTGAACGGGATCACGGTTGATGACTTGGCGATGTTGGTTGAGCTGGTTAGGACCGCTACAATGACAATCAGTTTTAAAAATGCAGCATCACAATCAATCATAAGTGCAAGAATATCTGTTAAACTAAAAACTGCAAAAATACTTATACTTTAATATTTTTATAATATTAGTAATAATAATAACAAATCGTCCATCAGTCTGTCCATACATTCGTGCTCTGACCATTTGCGTCAGAGCACAAATAATTTACAGAACATTACGGCATGACCTTTACAGCGGGACAATAACAACACATCAGCCCACCCAGGGTTATCGTGTTGGATTCTCCGAGGCAGCCACTTCATCGGTGGTCTCGGCGGCTTCCGGGCTAAAACGTTCGGCTTTCCCAGACCCAGGGCCACCAATCGTCTGCAGGAGCCGGAGAATTGAGCTTTCAATCACCGCCGTAGGAAAGGCGGGCCAGGCGGTGGCGGCGGAACTGTAAATAATTGCTGACTATAGTAGCATCGGCACTCGAAGTTGTCTTTGCAGCGAAATTCCTATATCGGTATAGTTATTTAACCTTTTCCGAGACTTCCTTGCACAGAACACAAGGTGCAGGAAAACAAAGTACCAGGACAGATGACCTAGAAATTTTGGTGGAATCCTGAGGTCAAGCTGTGACACAGTTCCGTATAGCACGTCTCTCTTTCAAATCCTACATACATCTTCTTTCTGCATCTCCGCAATTTCCCAATACGAGTACATCCCACAGCAGGCTCCGCTCACTAAAACAGCTCCACTCGTGATATACGCGAGCAGCTGTTCCTCTGGATCGCCGGCCGTCCTCGGGGGATCCTCCTATCCTACTGCAGGGTATCGACAGCTAACATACGACTCTCCGCGCGCGTGCCTTCTCTCCAGGTGGTCCCCGCGCCCGGGATCAGCGCAGAGCGACGGGGCCCGATTACTCCAAGTGGATTGGCTGTCGGGGAGATGTCGTAAGGAATGTACCGTCCATTGCCGACGACCATTGCTGGGTCGTTCCGCAAACGACATGGCGAGCGGCCGGCTCAGGCTGTGCCGTCCGCCCTGGTCGGGCCGAGACTGAATGAGACCGGAGCTAGGCTCTGTAGGCACTGGACAATTGTGTGCTGTTACACGGCCTCTGTGGCCGCACACCGATGAAGTCTGTCATGAGTCATTTCTGTTTTCGCGATTTGTATCGCCTATACTGTTACCTACGTCTTACATCAAGCCGGTCGTGCCTGGCGTTAGACTGTACCGCAATACAATGACGCATTGCGGGACAGCCTAAGCAGATGCAGCTCCAACGCTACAGACAATCGAGACGTGCTTTGATCGCTTTTATTGCAATTTTTCCATTATAACATATCACCTTAGTTGTAGATATGCATGAATGTTATGCATAGCTAAAATTAATTGGTAAAATGCTACAAATTATCTTACTGTATAGAATTGATATACAATTTTGAAGAGAGGCTTCAATCTTAATTGTCTTTTTGTTTGGCTGAGACACTAGTTTTATTTTGTCAGCCCATTCTTGTTTGGGTCTGATATTTGTGGGTTTCAGTGAGCTACATAAATCACAAAAACTATAAAAGCAAAAAAAGCAACAAAGCACTCAAATAAAATTGTTGTAAACTACATCATTTATGGTTTTATTGTTCGGTTCGACGGGCCTTGGTTTTACGAACACTTACGAGCAATCGCTACAAACACTTTGTTGTTAGGAGCGCGCCATAAATTAAAGGGCGCTGACAAAGCTTTGTTGGGAAGATGCCAGGCTCAATTGAAATAAAGGTTCCCCGCTGGCTCTCCTGGTGCACATAAAAAGTGTTAACGACAAGAGAAACTTGTGTTGCTGCTGTAAAACTTGAGATACTGAAGGTAAGATCAAACGAAGCGAGTGTGGGCACGAGATGAGAAGAAGAGAAAGAAAGAGAGAGAGAGAGAGAGAGAGAGAGAGGGGGAGAAGAAAAGGCAGAAAGAAGGAGAGAAAGAAAGAAAAAAAGAAAGATGAGAGAGGGAGAGAGAAAAACAGTAAAACAAAAAATACGAAGGAAAACAAGGGAAAAGTACAATGAGTTATGAATATCAATAGAATGGGCGGTACGCTAGCAGTTGTCGTTCCAACTCACCAAACACAGTGAGAAGCACGGGTCGGGGTCCGGGTGTGCCCAGTCCCGCCGCGGTGCGGGCCCGGGACCGTCCTGGATCCCTGCAGTGCCACAGACCCGTGTCCTCGAGTCGCACCTCGCTGACCAGCAGGCGTCCACCGGAGGCGGGCTCCAGTCGCGCCGAGGCCTCCACTGGGGAGCCGTCGTGATACCAGCGGCCCGCCGGCGCCGCCCGGTCACCACAGTCCAGTGTCACCGCCTCCCCGACGGCCGCGGTGACCTCCGGGGTCAGCGGGGTCAGGTCGGCGGACCGGTGCGGACGGGTCTGAGTGCCGCGGCTGTGACGCAACCGGTGGTTGCTGCTGGAGCGCTGAACGCCGTCTGAAAACAAACAGGGGGGATGTTAGTGATGTTTGGAGGCATACCTGAACAAGTTTGGCATGTTGTGTCACCAACGTCCAGAACAGTTATAATTAGATAACTTTGCGATGTGCAAGGTGTATAATGTATGCACATATCCAAACTGAATGAAATAGCATGCGATTTTCGAGTCAGTTGATACGCTGAAGTTTTGACAAGAGACGAGCTTGGCGATGTAACGACGACCGGTATCTCACCGTTTCCACTGCCAACTCCTTCCACCCTCCCCTCCCGTCCCTCTCCGTACGATATCAAAGTTTCCGCCCAGCGCCCCCGATAGCAGCGTCCAGCTCCGCAGCCATCCGTGGCCGAACGGGCCATTCGCCGGCTGCTTTCCGGCCCGTTTGATACGGTCGCTTGTTTTTCAGCGTGGTCAGAGTGCGGGCCGCGGCTCGCCGCATGCCAAACGCGACTTCCCTTTCAGGCCTGCCGGTCGGCGCGGCGGCGGGTGGCGGCGGGCGACGGACGACGGGCGGGGTGGGCTGGTGGACGGTGGTGTATGCGGCGGCCGGCGGCTGGCGGCGCGGGGCGGTGGGCGGTGGCGACTGCGGTGTAGCGGTGGGCAGTGGCTACGTCGGGCGGTTGGTGGTATGAGGCGTTGGGCTGTGGTATACCGGTGGGCTGAGGTGGTGGCGGCGGGGTCGGTGGGCTGTGGTGGCTGTGTGTGGCGTTGGTGGCTGGTGGGCGGCGCGCAGAGGGAGAAGGAGTCGTTGTTTTTGTGGGCGCGGTAGGTCGGTGTGTGTGTGTGTGTGCGGCCAGGCGCGCCGCCGCCGACTGCTGACAGAAACAGACGAGCTGGCGACACACAGCGCCACCGGCGCGGCGGAACAACAGACGGAGACACACGAAGACACGAGAGGACACGGTGGAGACACGAGGAGACAATGGGCAGCGGGATCTCCGGGGCGGTGACAAGTTGTACGACGTGTCAACCGGTCACGGTGGCAGTCGCGGCAGACAGAGGCGGCTGACACGGGTCGGGCGCGACGCTCCAGTGCCGGCGGGACCAGCGGAGCGTGGAAAGACGACCTCAGGCTGGTGCCAGACGGCGGAGAAACGGGTTCTGGGTGAACAGCTACGTGTCTACGACAGAGCCGAGAAATGCTAGACGGGATAGACGGAGCTAGTAACAGAGAACTAGCTTCTTGTGAGTATAGAGTTAGACTTCCATTTTTTTTCGATTAAGCGCGCCAGGAATGACTTCCTAGACGGCGTAAATTTTTAAGTGCAATAAACCAGCAGGATATGAGCGCCAAACATCTCACTGAAAGTGCAGAAAATATGCATCCAATGACGCTCATGGCAACCCCAAAGGTCAGCGTTTACCACAAGCCATGAACTCTTCGTTTGAGAAGATCTGCTATATTTATTATCATAAAGCTGGGAATGACTCATAAACAACAGCAAAGGTCAAACAATACGCCAGCGCACCTATTGCTTGACCTCGTATAGTTTCGGACTGCCTCACCAAACGTTCTCTTAAACTCCGATACGGAATTAAATCAATATCATCCCGGTAAAGGTCTCTAGGTCTATCGCCAGTGCATCACTCTCGCTGTCGGTAACTGAGTTATCACACCTAGTAAGTGAGCTGCTGCAGCTGGTAACTGAGCTGCTGCAGCTGGTAACTGAGCTACCGCAGCTCACGGCAGCAGCTGCGGTGGCCCGTCGGTCCAGCAGGCCAGCCAAGCTCGAGCCCGCTATAAATGTCGAAAGGATGACGTCATTTTTGGAAGCATGACGTCACCGACCGCTTATCTATCAGCAAGATGGAGGAGGACCGCGCCGGGACCGGCCAGCCGAGCGCATCTAACGGATAACGCTGATGACTTTTAAAGCCGCCCAGTTAAATTCAGACACCCGCGATCCCGCCGGTCATGCGATCTGGGGACGATATGGGACGCATTTGGAATATTTAGTGCCGTAGCTTCCAGTAACATTGAGTCACAGAAACATTATTAAATAAATTATGTTGTGACTGGTCATACGTCCAGCTATATGCATTATGCGATATCAAATCAGGGACAGTAAGCCAAACTATTTTGATATTTTTACTTTTCAAAATAAATAAATTTTCTAAGTGAAGATAAGAAGCCAATTATGGGGCAGCTAACCAGTTATCTCTAACGAGTCTCTACGAAAATCCCTTCACCAAGACACTGATAGGAGTTGGGGTGATTCTGGCTAACATCCAGCCCCAAAGTCTGTTTTGATACCCCAGTCCAGCAAATGTTGCGGTAGTCACTGCAGCGTGCCAGCAGCGATTCGCCACATAACAAACTTCCGCGAGAGTTTTGTCAGAAATTCCATTAGTTTTATCGCAGAGTGGAGACTTCGGAACTGCAGATGAGATCCAGACAAGAATTGCCCCATTTATCAAGCAAATCGTTCTATTTGCGGAAATCCCGACTAAAAACGCGAGTGGAGGGCTAGTACGATAAACAGACCTCTACAGACCACTGCTGGTATTGCTGATATTTCTGCTTTCCACAGCGCCGCGTCTACGCGTCTGTCCTCTATCCGGTGTCCAAAGCTCACGGCGGAGTTCGCTGCAGCCCAGGATCAGCCCAGTCCCAACGCACAGCCCTTACGTCAGTCAGCCGTGCCTGCGCAGGACCGCTCAGTGTAGTGGAAGGAATGCAGGACTTATGGTAGGGTACTTTGCCAGCGTCTCAATCGGGTTGACCTCAATCAAGCGGAGCGCGTATCGGGATGCGTTTATTTATTGAGATCGTAAATCAGTCGGAAAATATTTTGTGAACATTTTGAGTCCTAGTAAAGATGATCTAGTGGGCAAATGAAAGAAACTTTGATACTTTCGAGCATCGATATTCAGAAAAATCTACGTTTTAAAATTGGAGACAAAAGGAAACGGAAGAGAGAGAGAGAGAGAGAGAGAGAGAGAGAGAGAGAGAGAGAGAGAGAGAGAGAGAGAGAGAGAGAGAGAGAGAGAGATTCTCACTCGCTCCGGAATTCCCTGCGGCGTTGTCTCTCTCCAGGTGACGACAGGATGAGGCACTGTGTCCCGACACGGTGAGTGCCCCGCCAGCGCCCGGTGTCAGTCAGATGTCACCAGCAGCTCGTGAGCTGTCATGGTCTGCTGCGATCCTCCACGGTCTGCCATGGTCCGCTGCGGTCCTACACGTGTCTTTCAATGGGTACATCGTGGTCACGTCGCGGTCTGTCATGGTCCTCTACGGTCTGACGTGGTCTGTCATGGCCTATCGCGGTCTGCTATGGTCCTCTGCAGTCCTCCATGGCCCTCCAATGCTTCGCTGTGGTCTGTTGCGATCTTTCGCGGTCTGCCATGGTCCGCTGCGGTCCTCTTGGTCCTTAAATGGTTCACCGTGGTCCGGCGCTCCACGCCGGCCGGTTGTGACGGAAGATACGGCGCTCCAAACCCTCCCGAGGACGCCTCTGCACGAGAGCAGGGCGTTAGCGGCAGCCAGGCGGGCTCTTCACATCAGCAGCCGTATAATGTGAGAGCCGAGAGTTGGCCGGGCCGCCGAGAGAAGTTGGGCCGATCTTAACAAGTGCTGATAAACTAGACATAATGGTCCCAGTGCCGACATCCAATCGCTCTATATTGGAATGTGTTTGATTGGTCTGATATTTGAAACTAGTCCGAACGGTGGTCTGTAACATAGTACGTCATAAATTCTTTTGATATTAACTTCCTGTAGGAGATTCTTAGAATCACGTTTATTAGACTATTTGATATTCGAGGCACTAACATTAACTAAATATTTCCCATGCGGAGTCGGAATTATATAATATAAGGCGTCTCTTCTATGACAGAACGTCTTTTAAGAGCACAATTTCCGCTTCTGTTTTCTATTTTGTCCTACCTAAACCCTAACCATTCCAACGTTTCCATCTCAAACATTCCAAAAATAGCTACACAGCATCTCTCCCACAAAAACTTCACCCGTGGTGCTGGTCTCTGAAATTCGCGGCGTTTTTTTTCTACATACAATAGTCCCTCTGAGGCCGTCGTCGCCAGAGTTCAGGGAGCGTGCCGTGGCGCCGTGTCTCCACCCGTCTGGCGACTGTGAGTGACGGGTTTTATTCGGGTGCGCAGTGTGTGCGGTGTCGGGCGGCGGACGGCCGCCATTGTTGTCAGCGAGTAGCGGCCGTCAGCGCGGCGGTCATCCGGCAAATGGCGGCGTCCCGAACTGGCCCAGCCGCGGAGGGGGACACCCGAGCTGCCGAGAGGGACACCACGAGCTGCCGAGGGTCGCTGAAGCTGCGGAGAGGGACACCCGAGCTGCCGAGAGGGACACCACGAGCTGTGGAGGGTGGCTAAAGCTGAGGAGAGACACCAGAGCTGCAGAGAGGGTCGCTGGGGCTGCGGAGAGGGACACCAGAGCTGTAGAGGGTCGCCACAGAGCTGCGGAGGTGGTCGCTAAAGCTGCGGACGGACACCGGGGCTGTGGAGGACCGCCAGAGGTGCGGGAGAAGGGCCGCAAGAGCTTCGGGAGTCACTCCAGAGCTGCAGAGGGACGGGACACCGTCCAAAGCTACACGTGGTCGCCGAAGCTGTAGAGGGCTACCAGGCTGCAGAAAGGAGCACCAGAGCTGCAGAAGAACGTTCACCAGGGCGGGGGGGGGGGGGGGAGGCGAAGGGGACTGACCAAGATTGTTACCAATAGAGTGGTCGAAAGCACTACTGAGGAGTGTGAAGACCGTTTCTCAGTCTCACCGGGGCAGTGTACCCGAATAATGGACCATGTTTGGCTGGTTTGGAAGCATTATTGGTTTTACGCAATGGCAATAATTCACGGATAGTGCTCACACTCATATTCACCAGCAGCCATTATTGGAGCTTCATTAGTGACATTACCAATTTATTCCAAACAGCACCAGCCCGACGAGTGCCGCTCAATGCCCGGCGTATGACGCTCAGTATGACTGACATGTTGTGACACTGCGTGAGCCTCCACATCGGCCCAAAAGCAGCC